CGGGAATCAGTTCAGGGCAGGTTCCAGTAGGCCATGCCTGTGCTGCTTGGGAGTGTGATGTTCAGTGCATGGTGCAGGTAGGCAGGAAGGAGGGGGTAGATTGTGATGTGTGGAGCTAAGATGGGTATGCGAAAGAGGAGAGAGAGGAGAGAGTAACAGGAGCCAAAAACAAACAAACAAACGAAAAAGAGTGCTAAGGGAGCTTGCTATTGGAGTGGAGAGCTGAGAGACTGAGAAATGGGAAAAAACAAAAATGAAAAAAAAGGAAAAAGGGGAAAAAAATGAATAAATCGAGAAACTGGAAATGAAGAAAGACAAAAAGGGAATAAGAGAGAGAAGAAAACAAAACAAACAAACAAACAAACAAAAAAACAAAAAAAAAAGCAAAAAGAAATGCCCCCAGGGATGTCCCTGTGCGTCTGCGCAGAGTAAGGGAGTCGCTTCCAAGTCATGCGGTAATATCCAGTTAGAAGGGGCCCCCAAGCCGAGAAAAGAAAAATAAAACAAACAAACAAATCAGAACAAATCAGTGCAAACAAACAAACAAAAAAAGCCCCAGGGGCTCGACCAGCATGGCAGCGCGGGCCGGGAAGCAGTTTCACAGTCAAGCGGTGTTTTGCAGCCTTACAGGAAGAAGCAAAGATGGCACACGGAGCCAGGTATTTGAGAGAAAGGAGCGGGAGGTGGTGAGAGGTAAGGAAGAAATCTAAGAAGCAGAAAAAAGCAACACCTGCAGCCAACAAAAGGCACTCAGGGAGCCGGCCAGTGCGGATGGGTGGAATCCAAGTGACACCGGGGAGAAGCTGGTGCTTCCCGGCCAAGAGAGTGTGGCTGCAGGAAGCTGAGGAGGCTAAGTGGGGGTGAAGAAGGGTGGGGGGTGGGAAAGCGTATATCGCTGGTTACTGGTTGTTCTATCTCCTGCTGGAAGTTCCATGAAGCTGGTTTCTCGTACCCCCTGTTTGCTGATCTCTGATAGGAGTCCAAGATGGTGGATCCGTGCTGTGGTAGTTGATAGGGGACCTCTGCGTGTATCTCTCCTCGCTATATGCTCTCGGTCAGTTTCTTATTCCATTCAGTGCTTGGCTGAGTTCTTTATCTCTTCGTTTGATGCTTAGGGTTTCAGGATTGATGTGTGACTCTGTTTGACTTAGTTTTTCTGATCTTTGCTGCGGAGGGATGGCGTCGTGCTTCTGACTATAGTGCTATGGTGCCCAGAAGTCCTGTTCATAATATTTCTTTATTATCCTGTTAATGTCTTTAGAATCATTATTATTTATAATTTGGATCTTGAGGATTGTATTAATGTCTTTAATGATGTCCCCTTTCTGATCCTGATATTGTTAATTTGTACCTTCTTTGTTTTTTTTTTCTCCCTTGCTTCATCAGTCTGGCTAAAGTTTTATCAATTTAATTGGTATTTTCAAAGAACAAGCTTTGCCTTCATCAATTTTTTGTATTGTTTTTCTGTTTTCAATTTTATTGATTTCTGCTCGTTATCATGTTTCTTTCTGCTTGCTTTGGGTTTAATTTGCTCCTCTTTTCTACTGTCTTATCCATGGAATTGTTTAACCTGGGATTCTAATGGTGACTTATTCCTCAAATGAGCATATCTGATTTCCACTTGTGTGTTCTGTTTTTCCCCATATGAGCTTTAGTTAGCAAATTTAAAAATCCTAAACAATTACATGCAGAGACATAATCCTTCCTTAGTTGATTAGGAGTATTTCTGCCCATAAAAGAAATTATTGTTTTGACTCTGGAGTGTATAGAAAAATGTGAAAATTACATGGTATTGGGTATAGTATATCCTGGGTGACTTTAAACCTCAATATCATAGCTCTCCTAACATGTTTTTTATTTATTTTTTTCATGGAGTATCCTAATTTTCTTCTTTTTATTCTTCTATTTTCTGTCTTTCTGCAATGAGTGTGCAATCCTTTCAAGATAGCAATGAAAACTTCAGCTTTTTCAGACAGACAAGCCCAAGCACTCAACTCTGGTGAAGAATTAAATCCCTCTGCACTCTACACAAGGACCGCTGGTTGCACAGTGGTTAAGCACTCAGCTGCCAACCCAGATGTTGTTGGTTTGAACCCACCAGCCACTCCAAGGCAGAAAGATGTGGCAGTCTGCCTTTGCAAAGGTTAACAGCCCTGGAAACCCCGTGGGGGCAGTTCTAGTCCGTCCCATAGGGTCACTATGAGTCAGAATTGTCTTTTTTTTTTAATTATTGTGCTTTAATGAAAGTTTACAATTCAAGTTAGTCTCTCATATGAAAATTTATCCATACATTGTTATGTGACCCTAGTTGCTCTCCCTATGCTGTGACAGCACACTCCTCCTTTGTACCCCGGATTTCCTGTGTCCATTCAACCAGCCCCTGACCCTCTTTGCCTTCTCATCTCGCCTCTGGACAGGAGCTGCCCGTTTACTTTCATGTATCTACTTGAGCTAAGAAGCACATTCTTCACGAGTATCATTTTATGTCCTGTAGTCCCGTCTAATATTTGTCTGAAGAGTTGGTCTCGGGAATGGTTTTAGTTTCGGGCTAACAGGGAGTCCAGGGGCCATGTCTTCCAGGGTCCCTCCGGTCTCAATCAAACCATTAAGTCTGGTCTCTTTACTAGAATTTGAGTTCTGCACCCCACTTTTCTCCTGCTCCTCCAGGGACTCTGTTGTGTTCCCTATCAGAGCGATCATTGGTGGTACCTGGGCACCATCTAGTTTTTCTGGTCTCAGGCTGATGAAGTCTCTGGTTTATGTGGCCCTTTCTGGGTTTTGGGCTAATACTTTCCTTGTGTCTATGGTATTCTTCATTCTCCTTTACTACAGGTGGGTTAGGACGAATTGATGCATCTTAGATGGCCACTCACTAGCTTTTAAGACCCCAGACGCCACTCACCAAAGTGGGATGCAGAACATTTTCTTAAAAAACTTTGTTATGCCAATTAACCTAGATGTCCCCTGAAACCATGGTCCCCAGACCCCTTCCCCTGATACTCTGTCCCTCAAAGTGTTTGGTTGTATTCAGGAAACTTCTTAGCTTTGGTTTAGTCCAGTTGTGCTGACTTCCCTTGTAGTGTGTGCTGTCCTTCCCTTCACCTAAGATAATTCTTGTTTACTTTCTCGTTTCTGCTAACATTTTAGATTGGTTTTTCTTTAGATGCTGTGTCATTCTACTGTATATTCTTTTAGTCTGTTCATATTTGAGTTTTTAATTTTTCCTGTCTTTTTTTTTCTTTTTTTCCCTGTCATTTTAAGGAAAAATTCTTCATTGATGTACTAATGTATTTAGTTGTGTCCTTTATGAAATGTTTTGAAAATCTTCAGAAATACTTTTAATATATGTTCCCTTAGCATTGAGTTGGTCTTCAGATCTATAATTCCACTCTTAGAAGAATTCATTTTTTTATTTTTAAATTTATTGTTATCAAGGCATAATTTACATACAATTAAAAAAATTTTAAGCATACAGTTAAGTGAATAAATTAAAACCACCACTCAGATTAAGATTCTAAGACAATTGTTAGTGCTTAGGGGTATAGTAATAGGATAATTTTTCTGTTGTATTTTAGTAATAACCCTTACTTATATACACAGTTTTCTGCTAATCCACACACTATAAATTTAGAGAAAATACAGATTTACAGAATAGATAGTAGTGCCTCTGAGGAAAGATTAAAGGATTGAGCTTTTTTCATTTGTTTTTGGTAAGAAAAATGGGTAATTTTTTAACATAGAAGGTTTCATAATATAAAGAGTTTTTATGTGAATGATACTAAACAGTGGTTTAGAAGCTCTAGTGTGGTGAAATGGGTTTGAATTAAAGGAGAGATTTCATTTAAATATTGGAAAATTCTTTTTGACGTTTGAATGAGAATTGTGTGAATGGCTAGCATTATGAATGGCTAGCTTTAAGAAAAAAAGATATCTATGTTGATTTAGTTATTAAGTTGCCTAGAGACAGGTTTGGACCCTTCCTTCTGATTGAAGAAATGTAGGATTCTGTGACCTAGATCTAATGGCACTAGAACATCCACCTGGTCATGTCTTGAGTTTGGTTTTATTCTCTTTGTCTAGAAGATTAAGATTGCGGCCCTGCGCATGTATACTAGCTGTGTGGAGAAAACTGACTTCGAGGAATTCTTTCTAAGTAAGTTACTGTCTGATAGTTAAGAAAAGGAGAATGAATCCTCTTTCATTTTAATTATTGAATATTAAGAGGATGGACTTTTTAAAGTTTCTAGTGAAATAATTTTTCCTGTGTAAAGTATATAACACAAGCTGTTTTTCTTTTAATAGACTAAACAAAGACCAAAAGAGTAAATAATAAAATGAAAATATATAATAAAATACAATATATTAAATACAAATAGTTGTATAATAAATATACAATAAATGAAATATTTTAACAAGCTTGAAAAAAACTAAAAATTTGTCTCATATTTAACATTATCATCTTGCTCTTCCATGTGCATGCATCTTTTTACATAAGAGTACTCATAGTAAACATACCATCTATTTTTCATTCTGATGTTCTACTTAGCATTTTGATATGAATTTTCTGCCAGCCATTCCTCTTTCGTTTCTAGTTTTTAGTTGTTTTAGTTAATACTAGAACAAATCTCATAATTTTTCTTCTTTCTATTGAAAGACTGTTGGGTCAAAGGGCACATATAATTTTACTGTTTATACTCTATTGACAGTTTGTGTTCCAAAAGGGTTTTACTGGTTTAAACTATCATGAGTGATTGTAGCAATACAGTATTCATTTTGGTATTGTAAGCTGTTTTAGTTATTACCAAAGTTAATTAAAGCAGGTACTTGTAAAGTTATTGGGAGAGTAAGCCATTTCCAGCCATGGATTTTGGAAGGAAATGTGTGCTGTGCAGTTCTGTGATAAAAGCCATTGTCCTCAAAGCAACAAACACCTAACTCTGTATACTCTGAATATTTTTCTCCAGTAACAAATATTTATATATAATTATGTTAACAACAATGAAGAAAGTTAGATACAGTTTTCACTACTTAATAACTATATTTTTTTAAAACCAAATGCAAATTGTTTTACTTATTTTACTATTTCAGTGGATTGATACTAAAAACTTAAAATACCATACTGAGTTGTAATCCTAATTTAATATTCACCTTCCATTTCTTATTTATTCATAACCAGGAAAGAAAACTTTTCTTCTTTTTTAGCCTCTAACAATTTCTTGGTGTAGGAGAAATTAGTCTGTAACAGAAAATATTCTTTTTCTACCTGCTGAAGAAACTTAATTTTAGAAGTTGGATTTTTCTTAAGTGACTTTTTGAATCCATGTGCTTAAGCATTGTTCATCAGATCTTTTTTTAAAACCTCATAATCAAACATCTGTTTAACACTTGATTCAATAAATAACTCAGAAATTTATAATTATTATTTCAAAAGGATGTTTACTAGCTATCTTTGTCTTAGCCAACTCCCCATTATTGAAAATTCTTGAGTTAATTATAATATTGAATAATGAGGCTATTTTTAAGTATTTAAGTTAATATATCTGTTTCAACTCATGGCCTGTGAAAAGTTTATAAAAATTATTACACTTATGTACTAATAACTCATTTTCATACTGTACTTTTATATTTATCTCATTTAGGAGTTGAAAAGCCTTATGGGATAGGAAGGGCTTGTATTATTATTTTCATTTTTTTTTTTGTTTTCAGGAACAGTTGAGCCTTAAAGAAAGTAAGTGACTTGCCCAAAGTTGCTTAGCCAAGCCTTGAACCTGTGTGGTCTGGCTTAAAAGCCAGGGATTTTTCCACTATAACCTGTTGCCTATGAATGATTGTGAAAACCCACTCAATAACTGCACGTTAGAAGTTGTAATCCATCTTAATATTTTTACAGTTTATTAAATTTTAAATTAGAATTACCTCTATGAGATGTTCTGTTAGGGTTGTAAACTGATAGTGTGCATCTCAGTGAAATGTTGTCATAGCATTGCCCTTCAAAGTAATTACTTAAGGAGGCAGTACATTTTTCAGTGGCAACACTCGTTTTTTCTTCTAAATTTTATTTATTTTGTTGTTATTGAGAATATACAAGCAAAACATACACCAATTCAATAGTTTCTACACGTACAATTTAGTGACGTTTGTATTCTTCCAGTTGTACAACGATTCTCACCTTCCTTTTCTGAGTTCTTCCTTCCTTCCTAATTAACATAAACTCACTGTTCCTAAGGTTGCTGTCTAATCTTTTGAGTTGCTGTTGTCTGTTTGATCCCATATAGATATTTCTTAAAAGAGCATAATGCTCAAGGCAGACTTTTTATACTAATTAAGGTAACTATTGCTTGGTTTTAAGAAGATCGGGGGATATTTTTGGCTTAAGGTTTAAAGATAATCTCAGGGCAGTAGTTTCAAGGGTTTATCTACCCTCCATGGCTCCAGAAAGTCTAGAGTCCATGAGAATGTGAAATTCTGTTCTGCATTTAGTGGCAACACTCTTACTCAGGTTTTCTAAGACTCAATTTGAGACTTGCCTTTTAAGACCAATAGCACATTCATTTGCATTATGCTCCATTGTGGCCTGTCTTTGTCATTTGTGGGTTAATTAAATTTTAAATTCAAACCAGAGTAGTTCCAAATTGTGGCTAGTGAATAAAAAGGAACCAGTCTGGTACATTGACCAATGGAACAGAATTGAGAACCCAGATGTAAATCTGTCTACCTACGGTCACCCAAAGTCCGTCAGATGAGGAAAAGACAGTGTTTTTAACAAATGCTGCTGGCAAAAGTGGATGTCCATTGCCAAAAAATGAAACAAGACCCATACCTCATACCATATACAAAACTAATTCAAAGTGGATCAAAGACCTAAATATAAAGCCAGAAACTGTAAAGTTCATAGAAGAAAAAATAGGATCGACACTAGAGGCCCTAATACACAGCATTAACAGGATACAAACCATAATCAACAACACACAAACTCCAGAAGAGAAGCTAGATAACTGGGATCTTCTAAAAATTAAACACTTATGCTCATCAAAAGCTTTCACCAAAAGAGTAAGAAGATAACCTACAGACTGGGAAAAAATTTTTGGACATTACAAGTCAGACAGAGGTCTAATCTCTAAAATCTACAACAAAATCCAACGCCTCTGCAACAAAAAGACAAATAATCCAATTAAAAAATGGGCAAAGGAAATGAACAGACACCGCACCAAAGAAGACATTCAAGCGGCCAACGGACGCATGAGAAAATGCTCATGATCACTAGCCATTAGAGAAATGCAAATCAAAACCACAATGAGATACCTTCTCACCCCAGCATTACTGGCACTCATCAAAAAAAATGGAAATAACAAATGTTGGAGAGGCTGCAGGGAGATCAGAACTCTTATAGACTGCTGGTGGGAATGAAAAACGATACAACCTTTTTGGAAAACGATATGGCGCTTCTTTAGAAAGCTAGAAATAGAAATACCATACGATCCAGCAGTCCCACTCCTAGGAATATAGCCTAGAGAAATAAGAGCTGTCACACGAATAGACATATGCACACTCGTGTTCATTGCAGCATTGTTCACAATAGCAAAAAGATGGAAACAACCTAAGTGCCCATCAACAGATGAATGGATAAACAAACTATGGTACATGCACACAATGGAATACTACACAATGATAAAGAACAATGATGAATCTGCAAAGCATCTCACAACATGGATGAATCTGGAGGGCATTATGCTGAGTGGAATAAGTCAGTCACAAAAGGACAAATATCGAATGAGACCACTACTGTAAAAACTCATGAAAAGGTTTACACACAAAAAGAAACAATCTTTGATGGTTACGAGGGATGGGAGGGGTGTGGGGGTAAATACTAAATAGACGATAGATAAGTGGTAACTTTGGTGAAGGGTAAGACTGCACTTAATAGTGCTCATGAAGAACCTGTACACAGATCAAGAGGCAGTTGTTCTGACAGAACAAGGGTATACTGTGTGGTTTAAAGTCAGGAAAGGTGTGCGTCAGGATTGCATCCTTTCACCATACCTATTCAATCTGTATGCTGAGCAAATAATCCAAGGAGCTGGACTATATGAAGAAGAAAGGGGCATCAGAATTGGAGGAAGACTCATTAACATCCTGTGATATGCAGATGACACAACTTTGCTTCCTGAAAGTGAAGAGGACTTGAAGCACTTACTGGGGAAGATCAAAGACCACAGCCTTCAGTATGGATTACACCTCAACATAAATAAAGCAGTTCTCATAACTGGACCAATAAGCAGCATCATGATAAACCAAAAAGACAGAAGTTGTCAAGGATTTCATTTTACTTGGATCCACAGTCAGCAACATCCATGGAAGTAGCAGTCAGGAAATCAAAAGGTGCGTTGCATTGGGCAAATCTGCTGCAGAAGACCTCTTTAAAGTGTTGAAAAGCAAAGATGTCACCTTGAAGACTTAAGGTGCACCTGACCCAAGCCGTGGTATTTTCAGTTGCCTCATATGCATGCGAAAGTTGGACAATGAATAAGAAAGACCGAAGAAGAATTGATGCCTTTGAATTGTGGTGTTGGCGAAGAATATTGACTGTACCATGGACTGCCAAACAAACAAATCTGTCTCGGAAAAAGTACAACCAGAATGCTTCTTAGAAGGAAGGATGGTGAGACTACATCTTACATACTTTGGACATGTTATCAGGAGGGATCAGTCCTTGGAGAAGGACATCATGGTTGGTAAAGTAGAGGGTCAGCGAAAAAGAGGAAGACCCTCAACAAGATGGATTGACACAGTGGCTGCAACAATGGGCTTAAGCATAACAATGATTCTGAGCATGGCGCAGGACTGGGCAGTGTTTCATTCTGTGGTGCATAACGTTGCTGTGAGTCGGAACCGACTTGACAGCACCTAACAACAACAATACAGTACACAATACTGGGGAAGCCAGCGCAGCTTGTACAAGGCAAGGTTATGGAAGCTCCACAGACACATCCAAACTTCCTGAGGGACCAAATTGCTGGGCAGAGGGCTGTGGGGACCATGGTCTCGGAGAATATCTAGCTCAATTGGTATAACAGTGTATAAAAAAAAAGTTCTACATTCTACCTTGGTGAGTAGTGTCAGGGGTCTTAAAAGCCTGTGAGCAGCCATCTAAGATACTCCACTGATCTCACTCCTTCAGGAGCAAGGGAAAATAAAGAAAGCAAGATACAAGGGAAAGATTAATCCAAAGGACTAATGGACCACAACTACCACGGCCCCCACCAGACTGAGTCCAGTACAACTAGATGGTGCCCAGCTGCCACCGCTGACTGCTCTGACAAGGATTACAACAGAGGGTCCCGGACAGAGCTGGAGAAAAGTGTAGGACAAAATTCTAACTCACAAAAAAGACGTGACAGAGACTGGAGAAACCCGGAGAGTATGGCCCCCTGGCACCCTTAGCTCAGTAATGAAGTCACTCCCGAGGTTCACCCTTCAGCCAAAGATTAGACAGCCCCATAAAAGAGAACGAGACTAAAGGGGCACAACAGCCCAGGGAGAAGGACTAGAAGGCAGGAGGAGACAGGAAAGCTGGTAATAGGGAACCCAAGGTTGAGAAGGGAGAGTGTTGACATGTCATGGGGTTGTTAACCAATGTCATAAAACAATATGTGTAGTAACTGTTTAATGAGAAACTATTTGTTCTGTAAACCTTCATCTAAAGTACACTTAAAAAAAAAATTAAAAAGAAAAAAAGGAACCAATCTGGAAAGTACCATTTGAGGCAGAAGATAAGGACTGTAAACTAATGAGACTGACTTTTCTGTGGCTTGAATTCTAAAGAAGAGACCAGACAGATTTGGGGTAAGAGAAGAGAATATATGTATTTCTTCCCAAAATTACACTTTTAAAGTGGCCATTGCTCACGTGGATTTTTGGTATTTTAGAACTTGACTTTTATAGCCCTGAAAGTTCCAGTAATTTTTTAAAAGGAGAAGAGGCTTCTTAGTAAATAAGTTCTGAGTCAGTGGTTGGAGGGGAAATTACTTTATTGACACAATCTTAAATAGTGAGTTTTTAAAAGGATATTTTAAACCCTCACATTTAAATAATTCACTGAAAAACAATAGCTAATATTTATTGGAAAACAACCAACCAGTTGTCGTCAAGTTGATTCCAACTTACGGTGACCCCATGTGTGTCAGAGTAGAACCGTGCTCCGTAGGTTTTCAGTGGCTGATTTTTCAGAAGTAGATTGTGAGGCCTTTCTTCTGAGGCTCCTCTGGGTGGACTTGAACCTCTGACCTTTTGATTAGCAGCCAAGCACGTTAACCATTTGCATCATCCAGGGACTCCCAATATGTACTAAATATTTATCGAATACCTATTAAATACTAACCATTGTACTAAACATTCTATAGGCTTTATCTCATTTAATAGTCACAGAAACCCTGTGAGGTCGATTCTACTTGTTATCTTCATTTTTACAGAGGAGAAAACTGAAGCACTGAGAGGCTAAGTAACTTTACTCAGTGTCACAGAGCGGGTAAGAGGTAGAGTCAAGGTTTTGAATCAGGCAATCTGACTCCAAAGCCTGCATTATGAAACTATGTTAATACTGTCTTCCAAATAACAGGAATGAACTATCTTTTTCAACTTGATGTTGTGAAGGAAAGTACCTAGCCTCAGAAAATAATGTACCGAGTGGGTGTGCGTTGGAGCAAGAATGAGATCATGACAAAAGACTCTATAGCAGGTTTTAACTTTGATGTGTTTAAACACATTTCATTGATGTGAATAATCTATTGTATTTTTGTGTTGCTCACAGCCAGCATTCAGTGGTCTTGGTTTTAGAGCTTTACCCTGTGGGTAAGGAGTCCTGGTGGTGCAATGGTTAAGCACTTGGCTCTAACCGAAAGGTCAGTGGTTTGAACTCACCAGCTGCTTATGGGAGAAAGATGTGGCAGTCTGCTTCTGTAAAGATTACAGCCTTAGAAACCCTATTGGGCAGTTCTGCTCTGTTCTGTAGGGTCACTATGAGTCGGAATCGACTTGACAGCACACAATAACAACAACCCTGTTAGTTTCTGTTCTGACCCTAATGGGTACAAGAACTTAATCATATGCTAGCTCCTTTCCCATCCTCAGCCCTGAGCCGACCCCTAGAAGGGAAAATTGTGACCCAAGTCCAGCTGCTGGCCTTTCTGACTGTGCTTTCCAGCCCAAGAACTGATTCCCTCTGAGAAAATTGGAAAGGCTCCTGGAGGCTGCTGAGAAGCTTTGATGTAGAGGTAGCAATTGAACAGATTGTCCTTTAGAAGCGGCCAAATTTCATTTTCCAAATTGAAAGTCAGACTTCCAAGAAAACTTTTCTTTTTAATGTTTTGTTCTAGCATCCAAAAAAGACCCAACTTCAGTATCCGGGCTTGAGAGTTTCTCATGGCTATTCTTGTTCTAGGTGGAGGGTGGTTGGCCCACTCTCAGATGGCATGTGTCTTAATAGCTGTATGGCTAGCCAGGCCAGCCTTCACCTCCCTCCTGCTGGGCTCTGAGAGGAAGTCCACTTGACAGCTGCTGGGCACCACCCAGTAAGCTCACCAAAGTATTTTGGTGTCACTTTCTGACGGACCTGGATTCAAACCTCATCTCTGCTACTAGCTTGTTAATATTGTGGCAGCAGGCAAGTTACTTAGCCTTTTTGAGCCTTTTTCCTCGTCTCTAAAATGGGAATTGTAATGCCTCATGGGTTAAAGTGAGGATTAAGATAATGTATTAATGCGACTAGCAGCGGACCTGGCATCCATTGTGGGCCCTTAGTGATTGCTAGTTTCTGATTTAATATAGTGGCAGTTAGAGTAGTGATTACAAACAGTGTCTGGAACCAAGCGCATCTGAATTTGATCCCAGTTGTTTCATTTCATAGCTGTGTGACCTTGAGCAACTGTTTTGTTCTCTCTAAAAGTCAGTTTTCTCCCCTGTGAAGTGGCGTATATTAATACCCACCTCATAAGGTTGTTGGTAGGATTCGTTGAGCTAATGCATGTAAAGCACCGATTGTATAAATACCTGGCACATAGTAAGCTCACAGTGAATTACATTCGTTATTATTATTGGTGCTGTTCGTGTACCTTAGGAGTCCCTGGGTAGTGCAGATGGTTAAACAAAATGTTGGCAGTTCAAACCCACCCAGAGGCACCTCAGAAGAAAGGCCTAGTGATCTGTTCCTGAATGATCACAGCCATGAAAATCCTAAGGGGTGCAGTTCTGACACACATGGAGTTGCCATGAGTTAGAATTGACTCAACGGCAATTCTTTTTTTGTTGTTGTTGTTTTTTGTTTTTACTGTTCCTGCCCTGTGTTTTATCTCCTTGTTGCCCCTATTTGTTATCATTTAGTATACTGTATTGTGTACTTTACAGATTGCTGAAGGGCAGAAGATATCACTTCTTTCCTAAGTCATTGCCCCAAAGGAGATTCTACATTAAGGGCTTAAATTTCTCCATAATTCTCTTTTTTCTTCATTCTTTGCTCCAACTTTTCTCCTGTCATGTAACAAAGAGGGCACATTCAGTGAGAGGCCCCTTATCCAGCTAGAATCCTTTCTTAGAGAGCTGAGAATTGAGAGGCTTGGATGTCTGAGCACTGACCTGATTTTTGGGATCTAGAACAGAGAAGCCCTGCCCAGTTTTGTCATTCCTGGAGTGATGAAAGGCATTCTTTCATTAGATATGGTCTCCTTTCTTATTCAGGCCCAGCTCCCTAGAGTCTCACTTCTTTCTCCTGGTCATTTCCTTTGAGTAAATCATTTAACCAGCTGAGATCTCCATAGCACATTAGGTCACCTTAAGGAAAAGAGGAAACGTAGACTATAAGGACTTAAACTTCTTAGGTGGGCTCAAGTGAAAAAAAGGTGAGATGGTGTCTGCCTTGCTTTTCATAAGAATTCAAGACCAGGAAGGGAAGATATTATAGAATCACAAAGACATTGAAAGGAACTGTAGAGGTGATCTAAAAAAACAAAAACCCAAACCCATTGCCCTTGAGTCTATTCCGACTCATAGCGACCTAGGCCATGTTAAATGAGTGAGAAGACTGAGGCTCAGGGAGGAGAAGTGATTTGTGCAAGGCCATAGAGCAAGGTGGTAACAGGACTGGAACTGGGTCGCTGGTTGTCTGACTACATCCACTGCTCTTTCAACCCATGGTCTTGCTCTGTGGTTCCACTGCCCCGCTCTGTGATAGCATAATCAGAGAGCACTGTAACTGCTATGTATTTTAGTTGAACAGATCGCTACCAATAAGCCTTCACATATTTATACTTTATTGTTATTTTCTAGGGTGTCAGATTCCTGATACATTCAATTCCTGGTTTATTATAACCCTACTTCATGTCTGGTAAGTGAGCAATTTAAGTGAAGTCACCAAATGTATTTTTTTTTTTAAATACTGCTGAGTTGCAAGGTATAGACTTCAGCAGAGCTGATTATATGAAATGGCAGTTGTTCAGGCATTAAAAACTAGTTCTTTCATTTTAATAACTGGTGTCTTGAAGCACATTTTTATAAAGGTCAAAGCATAGGCACAGAAAGAAACTAATATTTGTAGGATTTTCTCAAATAACACCTAATTCAGTGAACAATGCTATCAGTATCTCTAAGAGACTCTATGAGCTTGGATGGAAAGTTCTCTCCTTTGGGTGTTTTAGGAAAATTCACATTTACGTAAAAGTGGTTTGAATTGTGAGAATCCGTGGTCATTTTCATTGCTGGTCATCAGAAACCTATAACAAATTATACCACTGACATTTACGCCTGTACCTCTAAAATGTGCATACAGGTTAGACTCCTGCTAGCTTTGTTGCATGTGAAAATATTTAGCACCTTAAACAGTATATTTTTTCTTCAGTTGCGAAATAAGTAGCCAAAAAAAATCAATTTTTCATCTAATGTTACACTCTATTAAAGGTCAGAAGGATATAGGAGAGACGTTGAAGTGGGGGCTGGGGATGTATTTATTGAATTGCCAGATCTTGGGAAAGTAAATTCTGGAGGACTAAGTTTACTACTTTGACCGTAGTGAGTATCTGAGGAACGTAGGGAATGGCTGCCTTGTCAAAAGGACCCTTGTTTGAGACTGCCTTCAGCTGAGCCTTTGCATCATAAGCCTGACTACTATATAAAGGCTTTTTGGTTTTGATCGCCTCTGAAATATTTCTTCTACTGAACTCACATAGTCATGACGATTGGCTAAAGGGCCTAAGATGGTAATTTATTTTATGCTCTTTTTTGTAAGCTGGTAGTTTATTGAGTGCACACTATGTCCTGGGCACTTTGCTGGGAACTAGGGATAGTTCTGAAGAAGCTCACAGTCTAGTGAGGGAGACAAGACATATAAAATGGTCAGTTACAAACCAGAATGGCTAAGTTCTATAATAAATGTGAGTAAGTAGTGCTTATGGGATCATGGAGGAAGCCCACAACTATCAAAACTTTTAATAGTTCTACCTGTTAGTTGTTTGAAATGCGCCATGTCTTCTAGTCAGACAGCTGAGAATGCAAACTACTGTCCATTTGTCCTAATGGAGAAGGTTAGAGAGGAGGGCCAGGGAGGGAAGCTGAATATGTTGAAGAGAAAACTACTTTTTCAAGAGGGGAGGACTACTGAGGTGGCACTGTGGAATTATTCACTGGAAAGGTGGGAGGGTTGAAAGGAGGATTAAGCTGTTCCCAGAGGGGCTCAAAGATAATATTCAGCGCCTGTATGAAAGACTCTTTATTGCCCATATAGCTCCAGGTATTAGAGTGTTAGAGGGAGTGGATAGCAAAATAAAATATATAATCCCTGTGACCACATCCCAAGGTCAATACCTGACTAATAGCAGCTGGGAGAACCTTGAAACTACTTATAGTTCTTTAAATTAGCCACCATTTCCAAACCATGCCTCCTGAGTCCTTCTTGCTGAGATTGGTTTAATTTCTTGGAGTGGAGAGTACCACCACCAGTTTAGTAGGAATACAGAGGCTGTATGCATAAATCTATGCTTGATCCCCCCCTCTACCCTTTCCCTCAGTTCTGATGATCTATAGGCTTTAATGGAGTGAATCAATACCTTTTCAGTTTGAGTTAGCAAACACGTATTGAGGACCTATTGTGTGTTAATACTGTGGGGCTTTGGAGAGCAGAATATGACAGTCTTCACCTTCAAGAAACATAGCTTAGAGGGAAAGCAGACAGAAGTGCTGTCGTCTTTAATGGATGACAGAATGAAAGAAGTGCTGTGCCCCAGGTACAAGCAGATGCTGTGGAAGCACAGGAGGTGTGACTAAATCTAAATTTGGGGCAGGGGAGTGTTGGATAAAGGGTGGTTCTGTGATAGAGGTGACATTTGAGATGCACTGTGAAGGGTGCGTTTAATTGCTGTCAGAGAAAGGGAGGGCATGTTAGACTGAGGGAATAGCAGGAGCAAAAGACAGAACATGTACAAGAATATGGAGTATTTGAGGACAGACAATTGTCTGAAGTGTTTGGGGCAGGTTTGTGGAGGAATGTAATAGGAAGGGTCACCAGAAGAATAGTGTGGGCCCAATTTCGCTATGATCCTCTAAGAAGAATTGGAGAACTTTCTCCTCTGAAGGATAGAGGACTTAGGAGGCGTGGTGGATCCATCTTCAAGTCTGTGAAGAAGCCATGTTCTTCTAGCTCTGAACTCTTAGCCTGAAGCTCCAGGAGAGTGACCAAGGGTTAGCTAAATCCAGTATTACAGGACTCAGTAGACTTGCTAGAAATATAGGGATTGAAATACCTCCTATAGGTGGTGGTGTGAGGGAGAGGTGGGGAGGCTTACAAACAGTTGTAAAAGTAGAAACAACCTTCCCTCCCCATTAAAAAAAAAAACAAAAAACCTGGTGACAGGCATTCTAAGAGTTTGCTTGGATTACCAAGGGTGATGTCTCCCTGTTGTCTCTTAGAATAGGGACAGGGTTTCTCACATCCTGTTAGTTCCCTGGAGAAAATGTTGATGTTTTCCTTACCCTGTCTGCCTTCTTTGGTTCCAGAGTTTTTCTGTTGATTGAGGTTTAAAAAAATAACAAAAAACTGAAAACCAAACCCATTGCCATTAAGTTGATTCCAACTCATAGTGACCTTATACGACAGAGTAGAACTGCCCCTTAGGATTTCCAAGGCTGTAGATCCTTATGGAAGTAGACTGCCATGTCTTTCTCCCGTGGAGCGGCTGGTGGGTTCGAACCACTGACCTTTCAGTTAGCAGCCAAGCGCTTAACCACTGCGCCACCTGTGCTCCTTAATTGACAATTTAGAACTGTTTAAATCATATTCTCTGGGACCCCTCCAATTCCTAGTAGGCCTTATCAGTGGAGTACTCAAATGTGAGTTTGCAGCTGCAGTGACTGTGTCTTTTGTCTTTTCTGAACAAGATTAGTATTGACTGTGTCTGCTGAAAAATGCCGAGGCTGCTGTCTGGGCTGCCGGCATCCCCGTGTGGACTTGATAAAAGCAGGCCTCCTCCTCTTTTCCCTGTCTTGGTCAGTGGCATTGGGATCTACTCAGGTGCCCACACCAGAAACCTAGGAGTCATCCTTGACTTTTCCCTCACCTCCTGTATCTGGTCAGTCACCAGTCACCTACCACATTGTATCTCAGATTTTTTTGATCAGGAACAAATGCATTTTACTTTGTGACCTAGTATACACACAAATATCTGACATAAAAGTTTTATAAAATTTACCCTTAGAATGTCAGATAATCTCTGGCATATTCTATTCAAATTCATTTTAAACACACACTCTTCTTAATATTCTCCATTGTTTTCTGGATAAAATACAAGTTTCTTAGCATAGCATTCATATCCCACCAGGTGTGACCCCTATGCTGCCTTAACTAGTCTCATCTGTTACTATTCCATACGCCACTACCACCACCATCCCCTCCTCTGCAAGGGGGGAAGAAAAACCTGTATAGTGGAAATACCTAGTCTTTATTCTGCACAGTTTCTTCTGCCTCAGATGCCCTTCCTCTTCCTCTCCACTTGACAAACTTTTATTTTTCCTTCAGTATCCAACTCAGATATCCTCTTTGAAGCCTTCTTTTCCCTCTGAAAGCAGAGTTAGTTCCTCTTCTGTGTTCCCTTACTACTTTGCATACCCTATTGTAGCACCAGGAGCCCTGGTTAGTGCTCAGCTACTAATTGAAAGGTTGGCAATTCAAACCTACCAGCCATTCCATGGGAGAAAATATGGCAGTCTGCTTCCGTAAAGATTTACAGCCTTGGAAGCCTTATGGGGCAGTTCTACTCTGTCCTGTAGGTCACTGTGAGTTGGAATCGACTCGATGGTGGTGGGTTTGGTTTGGATTATAGCACCCATCACATAATATGTTTATATTTTATTGTATATGTATCTGTCTTTCTTGAGGATGAATTTATTGAGAGCAAGAATTACTTTTATTTTCTTTGCATCTCATGTCTTCCCCTCAGTCCCATGTCTTTTAATTTGCATCAATAAATATTTATTAAATAATTGATGGCCTCAGATCGGACTTGGCTCCCATGGCAATGGCAATGGGAAGGGTCCTTGCTTTTGCCAGTTGGTCTGGTGAGAGAGGCAGAGCTCTGCTCCTATTTCAGGTTTCTTGCAGGGAGAGATTTCTGTTGTTGGAATTTATTTTGTCATTTTAAGTGTTAAGGGATTTGCAGAGGCTCCTCTTCTAAAATTCTTCATAGAGCACTAATACCTTCTAGATGCAGAAAGGAATTTTAGCAAATGGAATGGAATAAAGAAAATTAGAACATGCCTGTGATGGAGGTGGGATGGAAAACACTAAAAGGCATGTTGTATTTTTTAAAAATTATTTTAAAGGCAGGTTTATCATAGATATAATTACTATTGGATGTTTTACAAATACTATCTTTATTTGGATATATTGTCTCACAAATTCTTACAACTACTTTATCCTCATTTTATGTATGAGGGATCAGAGGCTTAGTGAAGTCAGAGAACTTGCCCAAAGGACTATTTATTACCTGGTGGAGAGGAAATTCATGTGTAGATCTGGCTAACTCAAAGAATTAAGTTGTTTTCCTCATAAATAATTAAAACTATCAAAGTAATTTAAAATAATTATTTATTAATAAGAATATTAATATCAATCCATATTTATTACTTAATTAAGTACCTGCTTATTGAAACATAGATCCATAGAAGTATAACCTTTATTCCCTAATTGAACCTACTATGTGCACCAGACAGATTTGATAGGGCTTAGAGTGGGGGAGAGAGATATTAAAGAAGTCATTAATAAAGTCCAACTGTGATAAATGCTATGATAGGAAATGACAGGGCTCTGGGGAAGAAGAGGGTATCTAATTTAGTTGTGGG